ACAGGGGCATCTGCTGCTTTCACTGACGTAAAGTGGACGCCCCTGAACTTGGGAGGGCGCCAGGCGAACTGAATCGCATAGCCGAGTCTGATGGTCTGACGGAGCCAACAAGACGGGCTGAGAAGCGCTAGCCAGGCTCCCAGAAACCATACCAGTGGCACCAACGGAACCACCGACGTACCCGCGGTTGGGCAGCAAGGGGGAACCCAGGGACCCAGCCCGGGCGTCTCACTGCCGGTCCGAAGCGGGGTCAGCATGTGTGCAACACTCACCTGCTTTCGGGCAGAGGGTGCATGAGTAGTACGTTTGACCACACTCTCGAACCGCCCACAGCTGCTCACTGGCGAGAGAGGAGGGTGAGTGTGATCCGAGACTGGCCCATCCACAGCTCCCTGTCCCCTCTGGGGACCCAGAGATAGAGGAAATTGCTCTTTTGTCGAGTTTTTGGGTACCACTGACCTTGAAGTCAGTGGCGGGGAAAAAAGAAACAACAGATTCTCCGTCCGGCCCTCCTCTGGGGGAGGGAGTGGTGCATTCACCATCTCCCGAAGAGCAGGTCCCTCCATCTCTGGGTCGCCCGTCTCAGGTCCTCTTGCTCTTGCGCTTGCCGCCAGGTTGCTCTGCGACCGGCTCCATGGAGCTGCTTTGCTGGAGGCTGCTGCGTATGCTGCGCGGGAGTGGGGGTGGTGGCAGGGGGCCGCCCTCGGCGACGAGCAGGCTGAGACACTGCCGCCGCCGGCCGGGTGGAGGCAGCAGCTGCACGCCGGGGCAGGATATGCCTGATGGCCTCAGTCTGCTTCTGGGCAGCGGAGAACTGCTGGGCAAAGTTCTCCACTGCGTCGCCGAACAGGCCGGTCTGGGACACGGGGGTGTTCAAGAATAGTGTCTTGTCCATCTCGCGCATGTCGGACAGACACAGCCAGAGATGGCTCTCCTGGACCACCATAGTGGACATCGCACGGCCCAGAGACCGTGCAGTGACCTTCGTCGCTCGGAGTTCTTTGAGAACTTCTGGGTCGTGACCACCCTTGTGCAGGTTCTACAGTGCCTTGGCCTGATGAATCTGCAACAACACCATGGCGTGTAGGGCAGAGGCAGCTTCTCCGCAGGCCACATAAGCACTGCAGGTCAGGGCCGATGAGTACCTACATGCCAGGGAGGGGAGCGACGGTATTTGCATTGCAACCGACTGCTCCACCGGAGGGACTTCTGTATACCCCCGCGCTGCTCCGCCATCAAGGGTGGTGAGGGAGGGCGAGTTCTGGCAGTGAAAGGTGCCGTCCACGACCCAGTGAGCTCATCATGCCCCTCCGGAAAAAAAGGCACCAGAGTGGGGCCCTGAGACCCAGCGCGAGCCACTCCGAGAAACCAATCGTCCAGCCTCGAGGGTTCGGGACGCGGTGGAGGTTTCCACTCGAGCCTGACGCTCTCGGCGGCCCGGTAAAGCATAGCCATCATTTCCGGATCTGAATCTGCGTCATCCTCTCCAGAAAAGTCTTGCTCACCCTGCAATGCAGAAATCGACATCCGATCGTCGGGGGAAGTACCGAAAGACACAATTGGTACCCCCCGGGAAGGTCCAGCCTGTTCTTTCGGTGGCTCCACTGGCTGCAAAGTGCCGGCGGAAGGAGGAGCCCTTGGAGGTTGGTTCCTCGGAGGGGAATTCCTCACCGTCACCGTAAGACCAGTCCGGACGCTGCCAGAGGTAGCGCCCCTCCGGCTGCCGCCAGGGGGAACCCTAGATCTGGGCAGCGGCACGGGCACCCCGCCCCTTTGCAGGAAACGAAGTCTGGTCCGCATCTCCGAGACGGTCACTTTCCCGCAATGGGAGCATGACTCGTCCACGAAAGCCACCTCAGCATGCTTAATGCCCAGACACGAGAGGCAGCGATCGTGACCATCACCCGGCCCCAGGTAATCCAGAAACGCACGGCTGGAAGGGCATCTTTAAAAAGACGCGTCTTTAAAAAGACGTTCCTCCTTTTAGAACTGCTCTTTTAGTGTGCTGAAGCACACAGGGGAGATGGCCGCCTGCAACACAAACAGGGGGTAGTGCAGCCTGATGTGTGCAACCCACTCGACACGGGAAGAACCACCGCCGCTGAAGCACCGTACCACCAGCACGAGAACTTCCTAAGAGCGTGCTTGTACTCGAACTTGTAGTTTCACTGAAGCAGAAGATCAGGAGCAGAACGATGAGACCGCTCGGCTCCAAAGTGAAAAGCTGAATATGCGCTGCACCAGCTGCCTACTTATACTCGCGCTGTGATCAGCGATAGCTGGATGCAATAATCGCATGCCAATGTGCATTGGCTTGTTTAGTTTACACTCGAAGCGGATTGGTCTCTCTAAGCGAGATCCCAATTCGTCGGTCATCCGACGTGACGTCGAGAGTGACCGACTGAAAGGGAACTTGTATGTTATAATACAAATCCATTTGAATGCAAAATGCCACAATTGACAAGTCAGAATTAAGTATTGCAGGAAGCTATAAGATATTTCAGTCATAGTACAGTCATAAAAAGGACTGTTGCAGTGTTTTACATAATGTTAAGTGCCGTGTCCAGCTCCATGACACAAACAAACCCCAACCTAATGGTGCACAGACACATCTGGTGGACATGTGTGAGCGTCTGTGTGTGTACAGGTTTTTACACAACATCACAGGAGCATTTTAAAGAGTAATGGTGTTTTAAACTGTCTTTCTGCGCTTTATGAGTGAGTGATGTACTGTAGAGGGGGGTCAAGATAGAGGGAGAGGAAAGGAAGTGGAGATGGGAGGGGGAGAGATAAGAAGCAGGAAAGGAAGTGAGAGGGAAAAGGGAGGAAAAGAGGAAAAAGATAAAGAGATGGAGAAAATAGCAGGAGGTGGAGGAGCTGGTGCAGCTATTCCCTCCAGCGCTCGGAGATAAGCCCTGTTTACAGCAGCTTCATGGGAATATGGCCCAAGAATTATATGATTCATGTGTCATTTTAAACTAGTTTGACTTTCTTTAATAAAATCACATGTTAACAGGTTTTCGCACTATCTACACACAACATTTATTGTGACCATGGATGTTAAGCCCCCAAAATGAAAAACACCATAAATGTGACTCATGTATTCGGTCCTCTGAAGCCATATAGCAGCTTTGCATGAGAAAGAAAAAAAACAAAATGTAAGTATATTATAGAGGGATTATATTCCCCCTAAGTAAACTGGTAAATAATTGTTGTGACCGATCAAGTCAATGATATGAACTCAAGAACCAGATCAATGAATCGGTTATTTTCAGTCAACCAGTTAATTCAGTTTAGAAAACAGACTTCACATCAGTTCACATCGATTCAGTTCAAATTACATCAGTTCAAATCTCTGTAGTTAACTTATATCAGTTAAGTCAACTTCTAAGTTGTTCAAATTAGTTCAGATCAGCCCATTTCAAATCACCTCAGTTTGGATCACCGCAGGTCACTTTAATTCAGATCACCTCAGTATAAATCAAATCAGTTCAGATCACCTTATAAATCACCTCAGTTAGATATTAGTTAGATATTAATTCAAATCAACTCAGTTCAGATCATGTCAGCTTGGTTCACTTCAGTTCAAATAACATCAGTTCAGAACTGATCATTTCAGGTTAGTTCAGATGAACTCAGTTTGGATCATTTCATTTCTGATCACTACAGTTTAGATCATTTAATTTTAGAACTGTTCAGATCACATAAGCTCAGTTCAAAACACATCAGTTTGGATCAGTTCAGTTCAAATTCATTCAGATCACCCTAGTTTAGATCAATTAAGATCATTTCAAGTCTGATCAGCTCAGTTTAGATCACTTAACTTTGGATCAGTTCAGATCACTTCAGCTCGTCAGTTTATTTCAAATAAGTTCAGATCAGCTTCAGATCTGTTCACATCAGCTTAGTCAAGTCAACTCAGTTCAGTTAACTTAAGCCTAGATCACTTCATATCAGATCAGTTAAGTTGAGTTCACTTCAGTTTGCACAGCTTTTACTATATATAACAGAAAGTCAGGAGTAAAAGCAGCAGGAGTAATGACATCTAGGGTATTCACACTGGTTGTTTATTTATGACGACAAATAAAACTACCAGTGTGAGCAGCCCAGATACTGATTTCTCATCAGCGATGAATCATACACAAATTAGAGGATCGTTCTCAAATGTTAAAACTCTGTTGCACTGTGTTTTTCTCTTTTAGACCCATACAGGAGAGAAGGAGAAGATCTGTCCATACTGCGGCCAGAAGTTTGCCAGTAATGGCACATTGAGAGTGCACATCCGCAGCCACACGGGTCAGTACCTCCTCATCCAAACGTACACTGTTTGCTCAACTTTCATCTTTTAATCTGAGCTTGTCTAACTTCAGAGGTTGGCTAAAACTCAGGGAACTAAACAATACTTTAGATGCTTATTTTCATGGCATAACAACAGATGGTGAGTTCAAGAAAAAAAAATGCATTTGGAAAATATATAGTATGCCACCCACAACAGTAGATGCATTGCATTTGGCATGTCTCTCTGTCTCTGTCTTTCTGTTTTTGAACATCTCAGCGTGGACATGGTGACAGAGAGCATGTTCATTAAAGAGCCTTTATAGTGGAGAGCTCAACATTCCAGTGTGCTGCCATAACAACAGACTACCACACACACACACACACACACACACACATATATAAGGATTGTTTTCTAACCCCTACCCCACACATCCATACACACAGTTCAACAAGGCCAACACATGCCCAGTGGAGTAAAAACACTGTATGTGTGTGCTGGAATGCAGTAGACATGGTGAGAGTGAGTGATGCGCCTGAAAGAAACACTCTTTGTAGGCATCCAGCATTGTGACCCCTGACCTCTGCTGCCTGTAAATCTGACTGCACGTTCTTTTAACTGCACTAGTATTATTTCCTTTTCTTTTTTTAAAGAGACACACGCTGAAAAACATCAGTGTTGTTAAATATCTTTGTCTACCTGGTCTTGATAAGACCATTTTATTATTATTTTAATATTTCCCTGCATTTTAATATATGAAACATTTTGTGGAGATTTTACTTTAACTTTTTCAACACTTAAGGTGCTTTTCCTACTGATGTATCAGAAATGCTACTATAACACTCTCATACTTGCATATGAAAATGTCAACATGATTGAGTTACTTAGTTTTTATGTCACTGGCAGCTTCATCATGATTATATCATGGTCATTCAATATTTCGCCTAACACATTAGTAATTAGCAATTAATAAGTAATAAGTAATTAACAAGTATACATTTTATCAGTCTGTATTTACAGCAATTTCACTGTCCACTCGGTTCATATGTGGATGGACAGCTACACGTAGATGTGTGTGTGCACACACTGCCAGAGCTGTGTGAGGTCACTACCATGCTGCTTTTGTGGGGGTGGGTAGGGGTGATAAATGAAATTATTATTATTATTTTTAATTTTTTTTGTCAACTGTTTCATTTCTATAAGTTTTTAACATTCTAAAAGCTACTAGTAGCTACTACATTACAGATTGTCACGAGTTTCTCGTATTGCTGCCGTAGCATCCTCTACTGCGATGTCCGAACTGATTGCACTATATCTTATGTATAATCGTTTTCTTAAATTAATTTTAAACCTCTTAAATCAATTTTTTTAATCATTTTCAAAGTTTTTAAATTCCTTGTTTTATTGTTGTGATTATTTTTTTATTTTCTTTTATATAAAGCACTTTGAATTGCCATTGTGTATGAAATGTGCTCTATAAATAAACTTGCCTTGCCTTGCCTTGCCTACATTCTAAAAGATACTACAAGCTAGTCAGTGTATTCAGTATGAATTGTAAGTTCCTGTGTGTTGACATAAAAAGGGAAATTTACTTTTGGTAATTATGTAAAAGTACAGAAGTACTTGCTTTTAAAAGTACTTGAGTAAAAACCTGTCTTTACAACTTTCACTTGTAATGGAGTAATTTTTTCCAGCAGTATCTGTACTTTCACTCAAGTAATGGAGTTGTGTACTTTGTCCGCCTCTGTTGGTAAGCAAGGTACATTTTTGTGTAGTTTAAGACGTGTGTTAAAAAACCAAAACCACTGAAGAAATCAGCTATAGATCTAGCAGCAAAACAGTTTCAGTTGTGTCTTCCTCTGTCCTTCCCCCAGCTCACCTCTGCTCGGCGGGGTTGAAACCCTGTGCTGACAGCCTCTCCGCTGGTTCAAAGGGTTAATCTTAAGATTGTTTGTTTGGTTTACCTGCTTGATTAGAAGCTTGATTCAGAGTCTTCTGCCAAAGTTAAACTCAACCCAGTACTTCCTAAATACCTCATTAAAACATCTAAACCTAATCATAAACCCAACCATCTATTTCTCAGATCCGCACCTAAGCTCAACTAAACACAAAACGTCCATTCCACCAGCACATTAACATCCAAAAAACTGTGCTTTTTAACTCTTTTTAATTTCTGTGGTGACAGAGTGGCCTTTTCAGGCACCGCTGAATGTGCTATACATGTGATCAAGGCTGTTTATTTGGTAATGCCGGGTTTGGACATGACAGGGCACAGAACAGCTCACGCCACATCTGGCTGCTGGAGAATAATGCAAATCCACCTTTACTGAACTCAGCGTGTTGATGATGTCATCCTCAGGCGCCACATGGGATTCTGCTTGTTAGCCAGTGCGGTATACAAAAACTGCCTTTAAAAACATAATGCCTCACCTCATTTCACCAAAAGACATCCATGTGACTAATAACCATAGACTGTATAAAAACATGGACGTAGTGTCCGTGACGTCACCCGTAGGTTTCTAAAGAGCGTTTTTGAAGCTCAAAGTGGGCGGAGCCGGCCGTCGCCATCTTGGCAGCGCGTCACCGCGCGTCACTCCCGGATAATCGAAAATGGGCAAAGGGGCGGGAGCTGGTTGCTGAAACCACGCCCACCTAGCTCGACAGTGGTGACAGCAGCGGCAATCCACCTGTCACTCAAGTGGCCACGCCTTTAATTATGCAGAACTTTAAGGCTTAATATAACTTAAACGGATGAGTTATAAAAAAAATTCACCCCCCCTCACAGTTGTCATGAAGGGCAAAATTAGCTATATAGACCAAAACCACTTTTTGTACCAGGCTGTAAAAATTTTTTTTTTCTTCTGTAAAGTTGGGCATTTTAACATGGGGAGTCTATGGGACTGACTGCCTTTTGGAGCCAGCCTCTAGCGGCCAGTTGATGAATTACAGTTTAAGTCACTTCCGTGTTGATTTCACAAGAGAGAGCGGGAGGTTGCCGCTTGGTTGTATATGATGCGTCTCCGCTGTTGGTTGTATTATTGGTGAAGTAAATCCACACTTTGCTGAAGAAGCGTTGGCAAACTCTTGAGCAGCAACAACAATACCACGTACTCCGCCATTGTTGTGTATGTTTGTTGCCTTTAAAATTGACACGTACTGCGCATGTCTACATACCTAACACGTACTACGCACGTGCATGACGTCACCATTTCCAAAAATTCCTGTTTTGGGTGTTTACACGGAAACGACAACGGTGGTGTTTTCAAAATCTTGCACTTTGAAACTCGTTTTTGTGTAAATGGCCCGTAAAAGTCTGTGCTAACCAACTGGCCCCCATCTTAACACACA